TTTAAAATTAATTTCACCCAATTAATAAGGAAACAAATTTTTTGAAGGTAATTTTGTTTACATATACAAGTTTTTTTAGATTATGTAATAAGTGTATCTTTCTTTTGTAAATTGGTGATTTTAAATAAGCAACTGTTTATTGCTATTAGTTAGGTGTTTTTAGCATTAAATAATTTATTTATCGATCTATTTAAATTGACATATCTTATTTTACATCACAAAATCTTATTTATTTAGGTTACAATATAAAATCGGTTGGACATTTAAGTCAAATAATTTTTTATTTAAATAAAATGATTCAGTACTATTTTCATAGTGTCGATATTTCTATAAAACCTGTTGTTTAGTATTTTCAAATATAGTTAGATTAAAATGAAATAAAGATTTTTTTGGAATAATTTATAAACATGAAAATTTATATATTTGCTTCATATTTTATAGCTTCATTATCATTTAATTCATATCTTATTCATAGCATGATTGCGTTAATTGATATTTATATTATAGCTATTATATAGTTGTATAAAGAAGACAATGTCTCAATGGATGTCGGAAAAAAACTAAGAACAACTATTATCTTTTATATTGTAAAAATTCATAGATACTTTTTTATGTTATAACTATGTTATAGTTATTATATAGTTGTATAGCTATATAATCAATTATACCTATGCTATAACAATTATTTTGTAAAAGATCACTCAATATAAGGTTAGTAGTTTTCGTTTTTTAATAAAAGGTTTATAAATTAAATAACATCTTTAGCTTTGTGGATACAACATCAATAATATGATAAAGGTCAATTGCTTAATTTTTATAAAACGTAGCGCATATTAAGGAAAACAAAAGAAATTGCACTATTGTATGATGAGCAGTAATAATTCGAAATCTAATATGTAGATATAATAGCTAGTTAAATATCCAAAATCGTTTAGTTTGTATTAGATTCGAGTCTGGTTATCTAGATATTAAAATTTTAGATACATCTGATTATTCAATTAGTTTGTGTTCGTGTTTAATATTACTGTTAAATCTAATTCAGTTTTGTTCACCGAATCCATATGTGTACCCAACCTTACTTTTTTCTACTGCTATAAAGAAAAATAAATATAAATCAAATATCTTGGCTTATTTAACATTTATAATCATTAGACTATACTTTAAGAGTAATAGAAATGATTGAACGTCATGTCAATATTGTTGGACATGTTGCAAAATTGAGGTAGACTATACCCAATAACATGTATTTTCTTATAAAAAAAAATTGGAAACTATAGTAAAAACACTGTATAATCGAACAAAAGTGGCTAGAGTTGCGTGTAAAATAATGTGATATCTTTACTCGGTATCTGAATTCTGTTTTCAATCGATATCACGAATTTTATTTCCTTTTAAAACTTTTCTGATTTTTTATTTTTTTTAGTAATCTGATTATGTTTTCTAATTCTTGGTATGATATGAAAATTTCGTAAAGAAAATTAATATTTTGGCTAAACTAAAGATCCGACTTCGTGTGTAGTGTTTTTTATTTAAGTTTTCTTAATTCATAATCAATCACAGTTATTTGTTGCTTTCATAAACATAAACCTCAACCATAGTCAAATTCGATAAGATATGAAAATTTCATTTTCTAAGAGCATTCTCATTACAACATTTTAGTTGATGTGAATCTTAATAACTTTTTATTTCTTTCTTTTAATATGATATTATTCATTAGTTGTACAAAGGAAATTTTAATTAATTTCAGTTTACTATTACAAATTTTAAATATAAATAAACTAAAAATGAAATGATTGAAAAAAAATAGAATGTGAACATATTAAATTATTTAAAAAATTAGGATGTTAACGCATTAATTATCAAACGATTGAGAGAACAAGAAACATATTCAAAAAAATATAGTGTGAACACATTATTACAAGTGTTTCTCTAGGGATAATTTTAGTATTCCCCAGAATATCAAACAGAAATTAGGAGACTAGTAGGAGTCGTAAACAATATTTCCCAAGTCATAAATAATGAAAAAGAGAAACGAACAAATAATTGCAGTATCACAATTTCTTAAAACTCTAGATAGGTCAAATAATATTAGGGTCATTTAATATTAAAGTATCTTGTATCACACCCTGGCAGACCCATACCATAACCCATTCATAGGATCATATAGTAAATATTTAATTAATCAAGGTGATTTGAAGCTGCTTGGAACTTATTTCTCGTAGTTGTATAATTCGATAAATCATCATCTATAAAATTTTAAACATCGTAAGCCGCAGTTACTGTCACGCAACCTTGATAATATCGCTGTTGTCTATTTTTTTTTATTAATTTGAACTGCTTGGAATCCCTTTTAATATAGCGATATATGTTTTGAGATGAAAATTTTGTTACTAAAAAGCTCTAAATGTATAGAGATTGCACTGGTATTCTCCTAAATATATAATGCATCGCTCAAAGGACAAATAACTATTGTAGCGGTTGGTGAAGAATCAGAGGAATCAGCTAGCCAGGTAGTTAATAATATTCAATTAACGTCAAAGTATATTGCATATTTTCATAAATTCAATAGTATTCTTACCTTCTTTTGTGCATGTGAATGGTAGATTTGAAGAAGAAAAACAAAGCTTCGAAGTCTTTCTTTACTCATGCAAGTGATAATCACAGTTTAGGTAATGACATTTTGTACCATTCTTAAAGCTACATTTTATATAAGAATGACGATTTACCAACTGCTACTATATTTTATTTTGTTGATTCTATATCAGAATCTGGCGCATATCACAAATAAGTATAAAATATAAGAATCCATGTGAACTCGTAGGCCAAGTTCACATTCATGTGAATCATAACTCATCATCCGAATGACTGAGATAATATAATTAATTCAGTAAACGACGTGACGTTAATTAGATCTACTTATCTAGTTAGTTTGAACATCCTTGAGCTGTCAACCCCGTTTATAGCGTGTTGCAAGGTTATTATTTTCCAGGTGGTCTTTTAATTGACAGCTTTAATTGTATACGAGAAGTTAATATTTAAAGAACCAGGCGATTTGGTCAAATATCTTGTCTCCAAGACTCCAACTATTGTGATAACATTTTTTGTTTGACTTCACTTTTTGTTATAACTAACTTAAAAATATGCAAAAAAAAAAAAAAATACTAATGGTGATCGATCACAACTGCAACCTGGAGAAATGTTACGATTAATGCTAAAAGCCAAGAGACTCCTACAGAGATTGTATGAAAATAGATTTAAATTGTTAATCCAAAAGCTTAATAGAAGTTCGTTTAGATTTTTATATAGTTGATTCTTTTAATGATTTCGAAAAATTATTAGAATAAAAAAAGAGAATTCCTTTTAACTAGTTCTCCTAAATTATATATTTAGTAATATAAAGAAATTTGGATCTAACTTTAGTCTATACAGATTGGACAATATGCTAAATAAATACGGATGTTATAATTGTAATACGTCAGCAAGCGAGTTGCTTACCAAATTATTTGGAATGTTTACAGGGAGAATTTTATTTGCAAGATACGACTTTCTTATAAATTAGCGAAAACAAGTACTAGGTTGTAACTTGTAAGTTGTAAACAAACAATACTGTATATGTTGGAAAAAAAAAACAAACAATATTGTATACGCATGTGCTGTTCGTATTTTTCCATGTTTAATTATGAATCGGACGATCATCGTGAAATGAGTCCAATATCTCTCGCTTTCGTCATCTAGGTGACGATGTTTTTCTGTCATCCATGTGACCAGTGTGACAATAAAAATATTTTATAACTACTAAAAAACATTATAGTTATATTTATCTTCCGAATATCACTGTAAATAAAATTACTATTTTATTAGCAAATAGTTAACATATGTAAAATCCTAACTACAATCTCATTTAACTTTTTTTCCTATATAAATCTCACAGCTTTAAGATATCTATTTATAAAATATTAAATAATTTTATATTTACTTTTAAAATTAAATCTAAAATCCATATTTTAAGAAGCCAAAATTAAAATACACTTAAACATAATATTCTTATTATTTATTGAATATTTAAGAAAATAAAAATTCTGCAACAAATTTTCTTATTTAATGTTTTTTTTGGCGACACTTATTTTAATGTTTAGGTACAGTTTATAGATTTTAAATAAATTTTAATAAACTATTAACATAATTTTCATTTAGTTTAACATAATAAATATTAATATAATTTGCTGTCCTCGTATTTTCAAAAGACAAATGGGAATACCCACTAATAATGCTCTAAATCCCTTACAAGAAGGTGACAAAATCTTCAACTAATTTTTATTTCTGTTAGCTCTACGAAATTATTGGTCGGAGGAATACGCTATGGTGTAAATACAATGATGACAATATCAATAGTTCAATTAACTTCAATAAAAGTTGCATTTGGTATTTTAATAAAGTATACTTAACAGCATGCAAAATTTTAGTTTCATGAAAATATAAATTCGATAATAAGTATGTAAAATAAGGTAAATGGTTAGCCAATTTTTTATTTTGGGAAAATCCCACAAATATTTGTATATATATTATTTAAATATTTCTAGCTTGTTAGTTATCTAAAGTCCATAAAAGGTAAAAAGTCACTGGACAAGATGACAAACTAGCTGATATTAGTGATATTTTTCCTTCAATTTTGATTATTTAACAAAATGAGAAGTCTTCGAAAGAGACAAAAAAAAAAGTGAATAAGTGTTTTTGGGTTTTTTTGTTGGTAAAATTAGTTTTGGTTGTTTAAAATATTATCATGTAGAAACGTGCTGTATAGGCGGCAAAGTAAAAACACTTCATCACCATCGATCATCAATAATTCGATATGATGCTATATAAGAAGAAGCTATCATCATCTTATCATTACATTTTGAACTGAGTAAGAGACATATACTTCTCTACATCTCAGTCTCTCTCCTTTGTTCTCCTTTTTCCTTTCTTTTGACCCTTCCTGTTTTCCACCTTGTCCTCTTTTGATGGCATTCACCGACGAAGTCATGGAGCTCACCACCGGGACAGAGAAGCACCTCCAGCCGGTAGAAATGTCAGAAGAAGACGAACAAGTTGTCGGGTTGGAGAGGAAAACGTCGTCGTTTTCTCATGGAAAGAGACCTGATAGTGCAGATAGTAGTACTATCACCACTACCAACAACAGCTCGTCTTCTAGCTTTTCTGGTGATGGAGAGCGTGTCACAATAGAGAATCTTGAGGTCCATGAGTCGCCGGAGAAAGAAACCGGATTTCACGGTGAGCACGACGACGTGAACAATGGCAACGTCTACTTGGACGTAGACCAAGGTTGGTAGTAACTAGTAACTAAAACCTTATATTATATTTCATGTCTTGAGCTGTCCTCTTTGCATGCGGACATGATTTAGACCTAGTAGGCTATAATTAGCATTTGGATAGTTACTTGTTTAGGAAAGATTTTAAAGATACGTATGAGAAGTCATTAATTTGTCATGATTTGTTGCTTGTGAATGAAGGAATTTGGAAATGTCGCCACTGTGATTGGACTTACAAAGAGGAATCTTTGTTATGTTTTGAGACCAAAGGTCAGTCCTGTGTTATAGGGCTTCTTTGACCAACATTTTTTTTTTTTTTTTTGAGATTAGCTCTTTTCCTCTCATGTTGGTATTGGTTGACTTTAGTTGACAATATGTTGCTTGGTTGAAGATGACATCATGTATAACTGAGATTCTGGTTAATTTTTGTTTGATCTTCTTATGTTAGGTTCTGATTCATCTGATGCGGAATCTGATGATCATGAGTCCCAAACTGTTGACCACTTGAACGGAGAGAAAAATGTGACAAAGTTTGAAAAGGGTTCATCTTCTGAGGAAAACAAGGGATTACGTGAGATTGATGAAGTACAAAACGGTGATATCTCTGAAGAGGTGGAGGTGATAGAGGAGGAGGAAGTGGACTTGGAACATGTTAAAGATTATAAGGCGAAGGAACTGCTGGAGAACCAAAAGACACCTGATCTATTATGTCCAAAATGCAAGACTTGCATCACCAAAGTGGTTGTCCTCAAGAAAAGGGTTGGCATCAAGAACAGAAAACCGAACATCGCTCGTGTGCGTGGGCCAAGGCCTAACCCAACTGACCGTCCTGATGTTCCTTCCGGAGACAATCCACCATCTCGAGATGATGGTAATAACAATACATTTGTATCCTTTGTCTACAAGTGCTTCTCCTGCTTCAGCATATTCGAAACCACAGGTAAATGAGATTCTAACAGTTACTTTGTTATGTGAAAACTGAAATATTAGATCCGATCCCTTTTGTGTAAAAATAAAGCATGCTTTTGCTTTGTGGAAAAAAAAATTGCAGTGCCGGTTCCTGACAGTGTCGAGAGGGTTAACACGCAGCCAAAGCCACATGCTAAAGTCGATTTCAACTGTCTCCGTGGGGTGTTTCGATTCAGTGAACCAGATGTTCATGAGCAAGGTATTGCTTGGTCCCTTCTATGCCAGTCTCAATAATTCGGTTCATGTGTAAGACAGTAAGAGCAACATTATCGGTGGTGGGGAGGGTTCTTACGTGTGGGCCCCACCATCTTTACTCAATTGCCATATCAAAATGTCCCAAATAAAGAATGTTTGCACTGCATTTTTGCACTGTTTGCGGGTTTAAGAACTCAAAAGCGTTTTGGGCGATAATCATGCTCTAAGAATACGTAATACATTCCAATTTTTGGTCTCTAGTAAAATTAATTCCTTGAGTGTACGGATCCAGTACAAAAATTCCTTGAGTGCCTCTTAAAATGGAGATAAGTACTAAAAAATATCCTTATACTATTTTACCATTGGTTCTTAAGAAACTGTTAGAAGACATTTGATTCAAGGTACGAACGTATAACTGCTCCACCTCAGAAAGTGGAATCCATGCATGTTTGTGTCTTGTAGTTGAATTGTTTGAGAAGCAACTTTAGTGAAAACAAATCGTGATACCCAATCCTCCTTTCTTTTCTTGATATGATGGCAGATGAAAACTCACATGATGCAAGCAAAGGTGTCAACTATAGAGCGCCCGTTGATCACAAGAACAACTCGCCAGGCAAAGGACATCTCACCCCGTTCCAACCTTCTCCTAGCGTGGACGTATCAGATATTGGTGTGAGCAATGTACCAGGTAATCTTAATTCTATTATCATACTGCATAGGAAATTAGTACGTAAAATAAAACATCTTATTTAGTTTAAGTTGTTAGCGTACTTTATAGTCATCCTCATTCATACCTTGCTAACTTGATCCGCTTCCGGTTAGGTGTGGTGGTGGACACAAATGAAGGAGAACCAAGCCATGAAATTTATATTCCATCACTCCCAGCGAGTTATACAGGAGAAGCGACTCTAGATGATCCGTTACTGACACCACCAGTTGTTGAAGTACCTAAACCGGAGATCTTGAAAAGCATCGTTTATGGAGGTCTAACAGAAGCAATCACAAGCCTCGGTGTTATCTCATCTGCGGCTGGTTCTGGTGCTTCAACATGTAAGTACCCCCCTCACCTTTTAGCACTCCACTTCCACTGTAAAACACAACACACCCTAATACTCGTATGTACCGTTGTGGTTGCAGTGAACATTTTGGTACTAGGGCTTGCAAACTTGTTTAGCGGACTTATTCTCCTTATTCATAATGTGAGTAATCACTTAAATCTTTCCTAATCCTTGCTGCTCTAAATTTAAATTTACCCTTATTTTCGTATCATTTTTTTTACTATTAAAATTGTTGCATAAAATTTTGGACCGGTCTTGTCTATTCTCTAGACATAAACTGAAAATCTCAAGAAACTTATAAAAAAAAATTTTGTAGCTCAAAGAACTCAGAGAGGAGGAACCTATTAGAGAAACAACAGTGGATAATAACGGTCAAGAAGAAAGTCGGTACAAGCGACTCCTAGGACGAAGAGAAAACTTCATGCTTCACGCAACAATCGCAATCTTATCCTTCATAATCACAGGACTACTCCCACCAGTCGTCTACTACTTCTCATTCAGAGAAATACACAACAAAGACTACACAGTCGCATCCGTTTTCGGGTCATCTCTGATATGTATCACCTTACTCGCTCTGGCTAAAGCTCACGTGAGTAACCCGAGAGGCAGCTACCTGAAGAGTGTTCTCTACTACGCTACAAATGCTGCATCGGTGTCAGGGATTACATATGTGGTTGGTAACGTTGTGAATCAGTTGCTTGAGAAGTACGGGTGGTCTGATGGTATTGAAACTCCGGCGGGTGAGATGATGCTTTCACTTATGGGGAGAAAGGCTGGTGGCTTTGGATACTCATCATCATACTGATTACAAAAGCTTGTTTTTGCAAAAAGATCCAACGTTTTGCTATTTTTTTTTTACTTCACTCTGCTTTATGAGCTCTGTGTGTGTGTGTGTTTTTACTTGTGAGAAATCTTTCTTGTGAGTGTGAAGTTGTTTCCAAGTGTAGGAAACACAAATGGTGATTGTATTCGAATTGATTTTGTAGCTTATAAGATTTTTATGGTATATCAATAAGTTCGATTTGTGTGAAAAAAAAATAAAAATATTGTTTGGTCCCTTCCTTTGCCGGTCTTAGTCACTCGGTTTAGGTGTAAGAATGATACATTTCATTCTTCAAAATATTTCAAAACGGTGATCCCAGACTGCTAAACTTCGGTCTCTAGTAAAATTAATAATACGGTAATGCAATGTCTCTCCTTATTTTGTTCACTATGAGGCTGAAGGGCTTTGTATCATATTAAGATATTATGATTAAATTTATTTATTTTGTGTTGTTGTGAGGTGAAGCAATGCCTAGTGTCCCGGACATGGGCGGACCTACCTTGGCAAAGGGTGTGGCAAGTGCCGCATACTAAATAATATAAATTTCTAAATTGTTAGAACATCCGCAATCGTGAATCCGTGTAAAAAATCTTAAATTTTTTTTTATTATTTTTTTAGCTGAAAAAAAAAAAGATAACTAATGGCGAGCCACCACCTAACAACAGGACCCGTAAACAGTGACAATATTTTCGATGAATTGATCTTTAAATAAGGATATGAAGAGGCCAATCCTTAATGCATTGGGGACCCATCAAATTTTTTACTATCTTTTTGCCTAAGTTTTGGAGCTAAAGAGTTAGTAAGAAACTCCATTTGCCTAAGTTTTGGAGCTAAAGAGTTAGTAAGAAACTCCATTGCAGTGCCCTTATGCAGATAAAAATGTGTAGTCCTTTGGGTTTAAATGGCTATGTTATGCTCCACTCAAAATCAAGTTCAACTCATCTTTAAATGCTTACTACTCTTTGTTTCCACACTCTTTAAATTACCGTTTTATGGATTTCTTTTTTCTTCTTCCTTTATGTTTGCTACCTACAACTATTTTTGTTTTCTCAATTTTCTATACACTTAATTACCATTTCATAAAATACTTTTCGTTTTTCTATTATTTTGCTACATAAATCTGTTCTTCTTTCTTAGTAATCTTTTTTTTCTTCTTAATACTAAATTATCCATAATAAAAACTATAATTTTTCTAATTTCCTTCTTACAATTATCATATTATTTTTAATTTTCCTATACTTAGATCAACAAAACTAAAAGTAATAAAAGTATTAACTATTATATGCAGTATATAATTTATAACATTACTTAAAATGAAGATTTAGAATTACGAAAATTAACTATCAACAAATTATGAAATTGTTATTTCTTTATATGGTTCATTTAAAAATACGATGTAAAATTTTAGGGATTGATATAATCTTTTTATTTATTTTTAATAAAGTCCAATTCACTAAATGATTTAATATTTAAAATATATTTATTTATTTATAGTGCCACATATTAAGTAATTTCCTAGGTCCGTCCCTGGTCCCGGAAGCTAGTCGGCCACGTGATAACCCAAACCTTTTAGGAGAGGATGTTACTGAAAAATTATCCCATCAGAAGTCCCACCTCTTGTTCATGCTGGTGCAGTAGCTTCACTTCAATGTAGGATATTCTCTCTTATTCAGTATTTATGAAACAAATATACCACACAAAAAAAAAATACAATATTCTCTTATACATATTGACTAAAATAGAAACAAAAATACAATAAAATATCTAAAAATTAATGATGACAGGACTTCTTAAAAATTTATTAATATATAAAGATATTAATTAACACACAAATATTATTTACAAAGAAAAATCAAGTTTACTCCACATTTTTATTTATCTCAACAAAATGTTATCTTAAGAAATTTAAATAATTCCACTAAATTAAATATGATTAAGATTCCTAGTTATCATAATAAAACTGATAATAGTAATATTGTTGATTATCAATATAAAAATATAAGTATTCATAAGTCCTAGAATTTGAAGAAGTGATGTCTAATAATTTTGATGTTCTTGATATTACTTAGAACGTTTTCATAGGCTTCGATTGACAAATCATATGCAAAATCATTAATGTTCTACCAATTATTTTATTAAATACATTAATGAGTAGGTATTTTTGCAAATATTTTTTTTTGAACTTCAACAATATAAATATATTAACCACAAGGTGGTGGTCTAGAGTTAGGCGAGTTTTGAGATTTGTTAAGCAACCCGGGTTCGAAGGCACTCCGCTACATCTTACCTTGTGACCACGCGGATATGGGTCTATCTTACGGCCCATTTGAATACCCGGAGTAAGGATGCATCCGTGAGCTGCACCACCCTTTTAGGGATTAGTATAGGCCTCTCCATGGGCCTTGGGTACCACTTAAACCAAAAAAAAGAAAGATTTTTAACATAAAAACCCCTCAATTAAGTTTGTTTTGGATAAGAACCCCTAAACTAAGTATTTAATGAAAAAACCTCCAAACTACCTTTATTTAGTGAATTAAACCCTCGCCAGTCATAATTACCAGTGCTACCGGTAAATTTTTAGTTTAGAGATTTTATCATTAAACATAAAAAATTAATAATAACATTATCTAAAAATTCGTGATTTTAATTTTCAAAACTAGCATTTTAAAATTTTTTCTAAATATAAGTGTGCTTTCTTATGCTTGTAAAATGGATTTTTTAACTCTAAAATACCTTAACTACGTTTTTTGGGTAAAACCCCCCAAACTAACAAGTAAACCCCCATATTAAAGATAGTTGAAGGGTTTTTATCGTTAAAAATCTAAAAAAAAATTATAACACTATCAAAAAATTAGTAACTTAAATTTTTTAAATTAGCATTTTTTCAAACTTTCTGTAAATATATGAGTTTGATTTGTTTTAACATCAACATTATATATATATATATATAGATTAAAATTTTAAAACACCAAAATATAATAAAAATCATCTAAAGATGTATTATTACATTTTTATTAAATAAAATATAATTTTTATTCTGTTTTCTTGTTTTTTATATTTATAACTTTTGATATTTTTTATTACAGGTAAATCTTTAGATAATTTTTGTTATATTTTCTTGGTTTTTACATTTTAAATTTATACATATATAATTTTTATTTTAAAAGGATAACAAATTAGACTCATATAGTTACAAAATGTTTTTTTTTAAATGCAAGTTTTGAAATTTAAAATTACGAATTTTTAGATAATGTTATTATATTTTGAATTTTATTGATTTTTATGTTTAATTATAAAACCTCTAAACTGAAGAATTACCGGTAGTACAGGTAATTATGACCGGCGAGGGTTTAATTCACTAAATAAAGTTAGTTTAAGGGTTTTTACCCAAAACAAACTTAATCGAGGGGTTTTTATGTTAAAAATCCAAAAAAAAAATACACAATATAAATGTTGATGGATTGTGAAACTCACGAATCACGATCCTTAGAAATGTCTTTTTACAAGTTTACCCTTGGTTCTTAGGTGACATTGTGGCGCAAATGGAATAGAGACCATTTGATTCAAGGTAGAAACGTATGACTGCGTCACATTCAGAAAGTGGAACCCATGCATGTTCATGTCTTTGTAGTTGAATTGTTTGAGAAGCAACTTTAATGAAAAAAGAAAACGTGATAGCCATTCTCTTATTTAGCTTTTGCATCTCTCCTTTGACTTTGCAAAAACTCGTCCATTCTTTTCATGATACGATGGAAGTTACAGACTCACATGATCCACGCAAAGGTTTCAACGACAAGGATGATGCTAGTGCAGCAGGCAGGAACACATCGCCAAACAAAGGACGTCTCACACCGATGCGACCATCTCTCCCCGAATCAACACAACAAAAGATGGTCAAAGATGACAGGAAAAAAAAAGCACCAAAGAAAGGACGTCTGACCCCGATGCGACCATCTTTCGCGGTACCAAACCCAGTGACTCTAGCGGAACCGTTACTGACACCAGTTGTTGAAGGACGTGAAGTGGAGATATTGAAAAGCATCGTATATGGAGGTCTAGCTGAAGCAATCACAAGCCTCGGTGTTATCTCATCTGCTGCTGGTTCTGGTGCTTCAACACGTAAGTACCTCTCAGCCTTGGTCCCTTAGCATCCCTGTCCCACTTCCATTGTGAAAACACAACACACAAATTTTGTTACAGGAAAATCCTAACGCTCATATGTACCATTGTGGTTTGCAGTGAGCATTTTGGTATTGGGACTTGCAAACTTGTTTGGCGGGCTTATTCTCATTATTCATAATGTGAGTAATCACTTAATCTTTCCTTTTCTTTGCTGATCTGACATTTCATATAATTTTTTTCCTACCCACTACTAAAATTGTTGCATAAGATCATGTTCAGCAATCCGTTCTTTTGCCTATGCTCCGGACCAATATTTAGTTATGCACAAGTGCCTACAGTTCTTTGAAAAAGACATTTATTTCAGACCGCCAGTTAATATAAGTCTATGAATATTAGAGCTCGATTACCTCTCTACTGAATTCAACTATTTTTTCTATAAGATATAATTATGTCTCCAGATTATAGGTAAATATAATATTTACATAATCAGCTTATGTAAATATATATTTACATAATTATGTCTCAGACCGCCAGTTAATATAAGTCTATGAATATAAGCATTCACTAGAGCTCATTCTATATGATATAATTATGTCTCCAGATTGTAGGTAAATATATATTTACATAATCAGCGTATTTTTTTTATAATGTTTTAGACTTGTGTATTTGGTTAAGATGATATATTGTATTAGAAAATTGTTTTCAATATAGTTATAAATAAGTTTATTTTAAAAGCTTGCCCCTAAAACTCTTTGCATGACACTTGTTATGCATAATGCATAAACCCACAATCTCAAGGAACTTTTTTTTTTTAAATGATCTCAATAAACTTATAGAGAAACATCTTTTTCAGCTCTACGAACTCAAAGAAAAGGAACCCATTAGAGAAACAACAGATGATAACGTTCAAGAAGAAACTCGGTACAAGAGACTCCTAGGACGAAGAGAAAACTTCTTGCTTCACGCAACAATCGCAATATTGTCCTTCATAATCACGGGTCTACTCCCTCCTGTCGTCTACTACTTCTCATTCAAAGGAACACACAACAAAGACTACAAAGTGGCATCCGTATTCGGTGCATCTCTGATATGTATCGCCTTGCTCGCTCTAGCTAAAGCTCACGTGAAGAACCCGAGAAGCAGCTACTTGAAGAGCGTTATGTATTACGCAACAACTGCTGTTTTGGTGTCTGGGATTACTTACGTGGTTGGTAACGTTGTGAATCAGTTGATTGAGAAGTACGGATGGTCTGATGGGTCTGAAACTCCTGCGGGAGAGGTGATGCTTTCACTTATGGGGAGAAAGGCTGGTGGCTTTGGATACTCATCATCGTACTAAAACATAATCCAGTGTCGTGTTACTTTTTCTCTTTCACTCTGCTTTGTGAGCTCTTGTTAAACCTTTTTGTGTGTTGAGTTTTTTTTCCACCTTTATGCCAAATCTCTGCTGAGTGCGTGGACAAAATAATAAATGGTGGATGTACTCGAAATAGTTTGTATCTTAAAAGATTTTTATGGTATATATGGTGAATACATTTGATTTCTGTGGAAAAAATTAGAAAAAGATGAAAAATAAGGTTCTACCGAGAATTGAACTCGGGTTACTGGATTCAGAGTCCAATGTCCTAACCGCTAGACCATAGAACCATTTGTTCGTTAGACAAATACTAAAATTTATATAACGTTCATTTTAACGTCATCGTTCGGACATCAGTTAGATTTGCATTGGGTTTGAATAATTGGTTGGGTTGGAGAGAGAGCCGTCGGATTCAAATTCGAATCAAATGGAGCCTCAGAATCGGGACGGCTCATAATTGATCTCTCTTCCTTTCTCTCAGCACCAGCTTTTTCCTAGAAAAGTGTATTAACTTTTTTTTTTGACATCGTTGTAAATGGTATAATCTAATTTTGGGGAAATTGCAGATTTCCATAATAATGTAAATGATAAATCCTAAAATATTTTAGAAAAGGAAAAAATATCTTTGAATAAGGAAATTTATATGAATATTGGAAAACTTAGACAAAGCTTGGGGAGTAAGGAAAATACCCAATACAAAATTTGCAGGGGATCTTCGGAAACCTTTCTTTTTTTGCCTTGATGCTTCCACTATAAATACACAATCTCTACTTCATTGGCATCAAGTAAATTTCATTCTGACCTACACCAGTAAAAAACCCTAAAAGCACTTATCAAAAAGAAAAAACCCTAAAAGCTTAACAAATACCAATGGATACCATCTCTGAAATACAGGAGGAGAAACCCTCGTTGCCGTTTAACGCAAGTCTTGATCCTTCAAACCCACTAGGGCTTTTGGAGAGAGTTCTTGAATTTATTGGAAAAGAGAGTGAATTTCTGTCGAAAGACACGGCGGAGAAAGAGATCGCCACTGCTGTTACGGCCTCAATGAAGAGGTTGAGGGAAGAAGCCAAGAAGGGTGAGGAGGAGAAAGAGAAGGCGGAGAAGGAAAGCTTGAAGCCTACGGAACCCATGGAGGATGAGAAGTTTAAGGGAAAAGTGAATGTCATCCCTGGTGAGGTTCCAAACAAAGGGAATGGGCTTGATCTTGAAAAGTACTCATGGACACAGAATCACAAGAACGTCACAATCACCATTCCAGTGCCTAGCGGCACCCTTCCACGGTATGTTAGCTGTAAAATCGACAGGTACCGTCTGAAAGTTTGTCTCAATGGGAGTCATAGAATCATAGATGGATCTCTTTTCGATGCTGTGGAGCCTAGAGACTGCTTCTGGAATCTTTATGAGAATGCCATAAGGGTGCTCTTGACAAAGCAACAAAAGTATGAGTGGTGGAAATATTGTGTGAAAGGGGAACCTGAGATTGACACTCAGAAAGTTAAACCAAGGCTGGATGATTGATTATAGATGTTAGATCTTGTCAAGCATTCTCTAAAAATCTAATTTTATAGATAAGCTTGTTTGATGCTGCTTTCTATAATTTAACCGTGTGTTAGATCTTGTCAAGCATTCTTTAAAAATCTAATTATATATATAAGTTTATTTGATGCTTCCTTCTATAGTCTAACCGTATGAATTAATTAACAGTTGATGTAAGTTGCTTTTGACTTTTGGTAGATTAATGTGAACGTACAAATTACAATGGATAACGTTTTTAAAAATATGAAAGATGAGATTGTAAACACAAGATCGTCATCTCTAGACTTGTAACCATTGGTACAAACCATTTTATAGCGTTATGAAAATATTTGTCTGATTGGTTTTTCAACTGAACATGATTAGAAGAGATACGGTTAGTTATAAACCGGAAAATCCCAGCAATTTTTAAATTTAAATATTGTTTCTCCTTCCACCAATATTTAACGGTAGAGAAAGCTAGTAATTTGAAAAGCAAGCAACTTGATGTTAACCGCAAGTAGTATGCATTGTCTAAAGATGGTTCTTATGGGCCGGAGAACTTCTATTCAGGCGACTTGGTGTGGGATAAAATCTGGAAAAGTTGAGCAGTTTTGGCCAGCCATTGTTATTGATCCAATGACACAAGCACCAGAGCTTGTCTTGCATTCTTGTATACCTGATTCAGCCTGCGTTGTCTTCTTTGGCCACTCTGAGAACGAGAATGAAAGGGTAAGGATGGAGAAAATGGTTTTCCAAATATGGATTCTTTTGAATTTTATGACCGTATTTTAATGTAAGTGCATGTGTGAGGAGAGGGAGATGATCTTCCCTTTTCTGAATTATGTTGCCAGGTAAGTCTCTTGAAATATGGAGTCAGGATCTCAATAGCAATGCTCCAAGCCAGGCAAGTCTCTCTCAGTCGATGAGTTAGTTTTACATAGGTTCCTTTGCAAGCATTACTTTGCATTTTGCCATTTTGGACATGGTTTGAAAATATATATTTTGGACTTCATCAAGGGTTCTTGGAGAACGTCTTCGACTTTATTGGGAAAGAGAGAGACTTTCTGTTGAAAGACACGGCGGAAAAGGAGATCGCCACTGCCGTTACGGCCGCCAAGAAGAGGTTGAGGGAAGCGGAGAAGAAGAAGGAGGAAGAGGAAGAGAGCTTGAAACCCCTTGAGAAGAAGCTGAAGGAGGAGAGTGTGCCCATGGAGGTGGAGAAGCCTAAGGAGGAAGAGGAACAAAAAGCGGGTCCCATTGGTAAGTCCTTAGTTAAAAAAATTTAGATATTTAAGGTTTTTGAGTCATATTGGATAAGTTTAGATATTTATTACAAAACTAACTTCACGTTCTGTTTGTTGCAGTTCCTAACAAAGGGAATGGGCTGGACTTTGATAACTACTCATGGACACAGAATCTTCAGGAGGTCACAATCACCGATTCACCATTCCAGCACTTAGCGGCACTAAATCACGGTCCGTTACCTGTGAGATCAAGAAGAACCGTCTGAAAGTTGGTCTCAAAGGGCAAGAATCAATACCGTCTACAAATAAACTCTGTGGTTTAAACATGTTTTATCTATAACTATGGTACATGATAAGTAAATGAGACGCACCAAAGAGACATAGTGTAGATTTGGGCAACTCTCGAGTAAGGCTGGCAACATCTCCCACGAAGTTTCTTCGAAGCTAGCATGCAAGTAGAAACTGAGCTAGCTTTTCCACTTCACAGTAATCATAAATAATCTGCGCAGCGAGGAAATTAAAAAAAAAAAATTACATGATTACACTAACGAAATTGTACAAATGTAATGCTACTGAATCAATCATGTAGATATATACATACATTTATAGTAGCAGCAGAGATGATCATGTCGCTGACATTTATTGCCATATTAATATTATGTAGAAAATTACATAGTAAATAATATTTTAAAAAACTTCATGTATATACCTTTATTCAATTTTTCAATATTATTATTTACAAAAAATTATATTCAAATTAAATGGTAAATATAATTGGCATAAAAATCAGAATTATTACCTTAGACAAAAATATGGAAAGTATTATTTCCCATAAATATAGGAGATATTTGCTTCCTTAATTTAAATAAATAAAAGTTAATGATATAATTTTGTAATTTTCTCAAAAATTAAGGGCATAATTTTGTAATTTTAATAGTATAGATCTTTGCTTCATTGGCCGGCAACAACTAAATTTCATTCTGACCTACACCGCCAAGTAACCGTAAAAAGCTTAACAAATTACCAATGGATACAATCTCTGAGATGCAGGAAGAGAAACCCTCGTTGCCGTTTAACGCAAGTCTTGATCCTTCAAACCCATTAGGGTTCTTGGAGAACGTCTTCCACTTTCTTGGGAAAGAGAGCGACTTTCTTCTGAAAGACACGTCGGAAAAGGAGATCGCCACTGCCGTTACGGCCGCCAAGAAGAGGTTGAGAGAAGCCAAGAAGGATGAGGAAGAGAAAGAGAAGGCGGAGAAGGAAAGCTTGAAGCCTACGGAACCCCCCATGGAGGTTGAGAAGCTTAAGGGAAAAGAGAATGTCATCCTTGGTGAAGTTCCTAACAAAGGGAATGGGCTTGATCTTGAAATGTATTCATGGACACAGACTCGCAAAGACGTCACAATCACCATTCCAGTGCCTAGCGGCACCAATCCACGGTATGTTTTCTGTGAATTCAAGCTGTACCGTCTGAAAGTTTGTCTCAATGGGAAACACACAATCATAGAAGGAGCACTCTTCGATGCGGTAAACCCTAGAGACTGCTTCTGGTACGTCGAGGATGAGAAGGTCATAACGGTTCTCTTGACAAAGCTACAAAAGTATCAGTGGTGGAAATATTGTGTGAAAGGGGAGCCTGAGATTGACACTCGGAAAATTGATCCAGAGAGTAGTAAACTGGATGATCTTGACCCGGAGACTCGTAGTAAAGTTGAGAAGATGATGTTGGATCAAAGGGAGAAGCATGATTTGGCAAAGAAGGTCAAGTCTGAGTCTCTTTCTCGATTAGACATGAAAAAACGAAGGTTCATGTGATGATTAGGACAGGATGACAAGTCGTTGGAGTTTACTCAAGTGATATGCTGATTATATATGTTTTGATCTTGTCAAGCTTGTCTCTAAAAATCTAACTATATATATATAAGCTGTTTGATGATGCTTTCTATAGTTTAACGTCCGTATGAATTAATTAACAGTTGACGTGAATGTACAGATTACAAAGGATAAACGTTTTTAAAAGTATGAAAAATGAGATTGTAAACACAACATCTACATCTCTAGACTTGTAACCATTGGTTACAAACCATTTTATAGCGTTGTGAAACAGTACAATTGGTTACAAACCATTTTATAGCGTTGTGAAACAGTACAATTGGTTTCAAACCATTTTGAGGAATTGTGCAGAGAATAATAGTTTTGGCTGTTCTCTCACTTCCCCGTAACTTACTTCCTATTTGATGCAACTTTCCTTACTACAACATTAATCTGCAACAGGTACGGTTATTAATATTTTATTACTCATGTCTTTGTTTTTAAACATGGTATCATCTGCCTGAATAACCCATGTGAATGATGCGTGATGTGACTTGCCTGTGTAGACTCTTATTTTTTGCATCCAATATTTTGCTCACATGGAATGGTGCAAGGTTTTCCTAAAGATGGCTTTGTAAAGCATATTCAGCTATCTGTTTAGGCTTTATCCAACATATGGCATTGCTGCGCATAGACTATAGTTTTCTTTGGCCCGGAAATGTTTTGACTGATGATAGGAGGTGCATTGAAGCCTACTGATGTGGAAACATTGTGGGTTCATGTGACGTGTGTTTCAGCCTGAGGTATGCTTTGCAAGTGATGAAAAAATGGAACCAGCTGTTGGGATTTTGAGTACTCCATCAAGTAATTTTGTGAAGGTATATTGTATTGTTAACTTATTGTGTTCAATTTGGTTGGCATTCGGTAATAATAATTGCACTATCAGCAGAGAGCTACAGTGCAAGAAACGTTCCTTTCAGTTTTTTTTTTTCTAAACGAATATGAAAGAAATCTTTATGTGATGGCTTTTAGATATGTTGATATGCAAACAAATACAGGGCTCGTGTGTTCTACGTATTACCACGCCATGTGTGCCTCCCGAGCTGGTTATGGATGGAGCTATGCCCTTCATTTGAAAATGTTTTCGCAAAAAAAAATTATCCAAGATGGAGAAATGGTACGTAACCAGACCCATCTATATGGGTGAGAGATTGTTTCAGGTTCTTGAATACAGAGGGGAACAGGTGAGAGGTAGCATTGCAGACTTGGGAGAAGCACTGTACCGCAGAGAAGGGAAGGATTGCTATGTGAGTTCCCAATATATCTCTCCACAATTGTATTATTCTCTCTCTCTCTCTTCTAATCAAGGGGAGGGATTTTGTGTTGTTGCAGCTGTTGAAGATCAGTGAGGAAGTAGTGGTTGATGCTACAGATAAAGGGAATATACTAGTAACATTTTGAGTGGCCTACCTTCGTTTAATAGATAACGTGGTGGATCCAACCCTCTTTATATATTACGATCGTTTCGAGAAGAATTCAGATTCATTTATTCTTGTCAATGATGCACCAGTTGAGTTTCCTGGATTGGGTAATGAACCTATCTCCTCTTGTTCTTCTTTTTCTTTTTCTAATTCAGTTAATGCAGCTTCCTCCTTCAACTCTGATGCATATCAAATTTCCAAAACCCTAATTTTTTTTTCAGTACGATCGCATGCCTCATGCCTCATGCATCGATTTGTCAAAACTAAAGTTATTCCGCCGTAAACACGTTTGAGAAGAACGTTATACGTTTTACTTTTGAATATAGTGGCATGAAACTATACATGAAATTAAGAAAATGAATTTTTGACCCAAAACGTTAGAGATTTTTTATATGTCCCAACAGCTAATCTAGTCTGTTATGTAAGAAACACACTTAATGCTACAAAATAGACTAACTATCACACTTACTAATTCAGATTTGAAATGTCCACCATAGATATCCAAATCATTTTGTTACTAAGCTATCATTTTGTTCATTAAAGCCTTCTTTTATAAAAAAAACAGAGAAATTGTAACGAGCGTATTTGGTGAACTTTGTTGCACGTGGATTGCCATTCTTTAGGCCTCTTGATCACCATCCAAGAGTTGTATACTGTGGAGCCCCTTTACAACATCTGAATATTCTCTACAAGTCTACATGGGTGGCCTACCTTCGTTTGACTCATCGTATAAGAACCTAAAAGACCGTTCGTACTAGAAACGAAAAGAAGACGATTCCGGTTTGTCTATCTTGCACTAAAACCCTTATTCCTAGCTTCCTACATCTCTAAAAACACATACCACACAAATTCCGATTGAAAGATATATTGATGTCGTGCTTATTGGCTTCTTAACATACCAATAGGGTTAAAACTTGGCATTCTCCTACATGCAAAGTTTTAGTTCCAACAAAAAACGTCAATTTTCAAGAGTAAGGTTCATCCATTTGTAACATCCTATTTTGAGTTAATTTATAAAATTTGATGACATGAGGTAAATTGGAAAATCATATATACTTGTAGGCCATTCAATAATTGTAAGCTGAAAAATTACAATTCTGATTTACTACCAGTTGTGACCCACCGACGTGTTAGAACGTCATTTCAAGTTGTCCAGATTTAGTGAATAAATCATTTATTGCTTTTCACCAATTTTGGAAATGAATGAAAATTAAAGTCTTCGTTTGTTGACAAATATAAAGTCGGTGTTTTGTCCACGTGAAAGTTTTTTTTTTACGATGTCATAGTCATTGATTTTTGGGGAAACTGTTTTTTTAGACCAAATAGGTTTGGATATTGTCCCTTTAGGCTAAATTATATTTTGTACCAATTTTGACTTTAATGCCCTTTATGTATTTTCGAAATTATTAAAAAAAATAGATATATGTAGCAAATTTTTTTAAAAAAATAGTACATAATGATGAAATCTCTATATCTATATAGTGATATTTTTTTCTT